TGCAATATAGATTCGTGAATTCAATATCAGCTTTACAGAATACCTGTCTGAAAGTAGCTGTCTCAGATTTCTACTTTCATTGTTATTGATCTTTAAATATCCCAAACTTAAGTGATTATGTTTTCACTGACAAAAATGTCGGATCCTTTGGTCTCCTTTAGAATCTATTCCCATTTGGAGTAGCGCAGACTAGGTGTTCCTGAGCTAAATGAGAGAGGTTTGCTTTATTTACCTTCTCATATAAACAAGCTTGTCTCTCCAGCCTCCCTGAACAATGCCTATTGTAACGCCAACCTGACGTTCTTGAGTTCTAAATATAAGCCAAAGCACTTTTAAGAGATTGAGATCAGAACTTTGCTTTACATCTGAAATCTCATTTTGAATTCAGATACACAATTACTCACAGACTCAGAGATTTAATTACACTGCCTTAGGATAGTATTAAAACAATAGTTTTAATTTTTTTTTCAGGTTACAAAAGTTATCTGTTGTCTATATGGAAATGCAACATGGCTACATAGTCTTTTCCTAAACTTGCTACATTGACTTCAAAAAGAAGAAGGTCTGGATGAAACCACCTCTTTAACCCTCATTATATTTAATGTAATTCTACGGATATCTTATCCATACCCTTATAACCTGTTTAGAAAATTGGAAAAGAATCCAAGAGAAATCGCTCAAGGGAGGCTGGGGGGTGTGGCACCACAGTGGTTTGGAAATATTCTGGGGTTTAAGACAGCAACACCTATAATTATGGAGGCGTCATCACCTCCATAAAAAAAGAAAACAACAAAAAAAAATAACGCTTTTACTAACCAGATGTAGTCATAGCATATGTACGCCCTTCCCCAAACCTGTCTGGCATTTGTTTCTGGCCTAGTGGGGAATATCTGCCATCTTTCTCTCCCAGCACTCATAAAACAATACAAAGGTAAACAATTGGAGTACAATTAGCAGTCTCATTGGAGTAGCAGGAAGGAGAAGTCACCCTGCGATTAATGTCAAAGGAATTAATCATGGTTTACAGAGATGATTTAGTGGCTTGAATTTGTAAGTAGTTTAAAAAACAAGAAACTTACTAAGTTTGACTAAGGCTAGTTTTTAAAGGTGTGGGGATTGTATCCTGGCCAATCAATTTAATTTCATATTTTAAACACTACAAAATACATTGCTCATTATCCAGGAAGACTGCTGTAGGAGAATATGATATACTCGAGTCTGACATAAGCTTGGCATTCTTTTTTCTAATGTTTACCCTAATGGCGAAGGATTACCCTAAGTCAGTCACACTTTAACCTCAGCTCTCTTTGCATAACCAGAATCCATTGTGTGATGGCAGGGAATAGGGGTGTACAGTGAACTCCTTCCCTGACACTAACTCAACCCACAAAGTAACTGGGTCCACACCTTAGCCAAATCACAGATCACGCATCACTCAAATGCCTAATTTAAAGTGTTTATTTTCGAACCTCTCCCCAAGAACATTCAAACACACATGCATATACACAAACACATGTACACACCCATCCTACTATTCCAGGGGGAAATGTAACTTTTTCAAGGGGAAGAGAATTAATACTTGTTTAGTTAAATAATAGCATCATGGTATGTTCTAACATATTTTAGAATTTCTTTATAGACGCATATAACCATGTTGGTAAGCATTTATTTGCCATTCTTTTGGTTGTTACTGTGAGGAAATGGGGGAAGGGGGATAAGTACTTTTGCATCAATATGATGTTAGGAGCATCTGGTTTTTTTAAGTGAATATCTATTTATTTTTCTACCAAAAGGTGGCGTTATACTCCTATGCCCTTTCTTTTCAACCCTTCCTGCTCTAATTTGCCAAAAAGAAACTTCCACTTGATTACTGATCAAGAAATCAAAATGTGCTCCATATGAATGCAACATTAGAGTGTTGAAAATGAACAATATGTTAAACTGTAGTTAAGTTTCCTGCTAATATAAACCAAATGGATATGCAGTTTTTAACAATGCAACACTAGACAGTTTCATATACAAAACTGACTGTAGTATACCATAGGATCTGGAATGAGGGTTTCCCTTTCATCTGCGAAACTTGTTGCAAACCTGACTTCAGTCCCAAATCTGAAGTGAATGTGTGTATGCATATATATGTGCATACATACATACGTACACACACATATACATAGATATGTACGTATATATATATCTAAAAATGTAGAAATAGATTTATAGCCTATTCATGATCTTTTAAATCATTGACAAATATAATAAAAACCGAGTTCCTTATTTGAAAAATAAGGTGAAGGTATGCTTTTGTTCTTATGGAATATTACTAGATTGGTCAAGTTAAAATAAATGGATATTTCCTCTTAATTGCATTGCTATAGCCCTTCATTTACTAGCTGCTTTCAGGATCTGGCTCAAATGTTTAAGAACAAAAGGGTTGTTTTCTCTTCTCCAACATGCCCTATGGATTTGTATTTCATAATTTCTTTGCTTCCTGCATTTGGAATACCCACTGATGTCAAGGAGAGTTTCATACAAGGAACATGTCCAGAACAGGTAATGAAGATGCATATCTTAGAAAAGACAGCCTCTGAAACATCTGCCCTTAGCTAGTTAACTCACCGGGAGTCCTGTCACTATACTTTGGAAAGGATCCATCCTTCTACTGGCTCTTGACATTGACTTCACCAACCCAGGGAACTCTTTCTGTAGCTTGCCCAGAAGCCCGGTGAGGCTTAAAGATAAAGAGTGGCAGGTAACATACATTACATGGTGGGGGTGGGACTGGAAACCCGGCCTCTCAGGGTGAAGAACACCCACAGGACCAAATCCGCATCTTTACCTCTAGAATTGTGCTAAAATGATCTAATGACTGTGCGTCAGATAATATTGTGTAACCTTATACGACATACATTAAGTATGAATTACCTTGGCACAGGGTGCGTTTGCAGTCTTCACCTTTTGGATTCATTTCATTTTTTTTTACTGTGTTATATCACTTAAAAATAAATATACCACTTTAAGACGATACTCTTTATACCATCACTGAATTCCTGCTTAAATTCTCCCATCGGCAAGCTATTATACACAATAATATTGGAAAGAGACAAATTATCTGACCAAGACAATTTGGAGTTTTAATTCAAGTAGTATCCAACAGGCAACAGGTAGCATGTGAGACTCTCCAGGGCTACATATCAAGAATATAAAAATATAACCAGAGAATTTTAGAAAAACAAGGCAAGCAAACCTGTTAGAAATACTGTCATTTTTTTAAAAGCACCTCCCCCCACATTTCTATTTTGAAGATGTTTATTATTCACACCATTATTAGTGTATTTGAGATAAAGGAATAATGTTCTCCTGAGATTTCAAATACTGACATTACTTTGTAGGATGAAAACAACTGCTTTTAATGTTATGGTTTTACATCCCTATCCCCCCAGTGGCCTAGTTTACCTTATATTCCATAAATGAAAATGTCTTTATCAAAAAGCTGGTTTGGAGTTTGGGCACAGAAGGGAATATTTATTAATTTTCTATAAAAACTATCCCTATTAACTACTGATTATAGAATTAAAGCAGAGCTTTTCTCATTTGTAACATGAAAATATGATATCCATTATTCCTCCTTTTTGCTTTTGGGATATATATATCTATGGGTGTATACACATACACATGCACATTCCACTGCCCTTCCTTGTTTTCACTTACCAATATGTCTGTGTATATAGCTATAGATGTCTCTTTGTGTGCATATAAGTATATATGTGTGTATAGATGCATGTATGTGTATATATACATATGCACACATATATTCTTCTGCACAGTGCTTACTTCCAAACAAGTTTGATATCATTTTTTTCAGCATTCTACCTCCTCACCATCCAGCCATCCAGCTAAATTTCTCAAACCTATTGGAACTTAAGCATTACAAACACATGTCACCTTGTCTGGGAACTGGACTGCATGCAACAAAGCTTTCTGGGTATGACTGATATCTGAAAGAGCAGGCAATTTGTGTTAAACAACTAATTGGCATTCTAGCTCCTGGGCGTTTTCCTAAGAGGAACACAGAACAAAAACAAACAGCCGGTCATGAACATGGACGTGGGCACTTTCTACAAACTGGACAGAACTATAGAATTCCTTCAGCAACTCTTAGCTGAAATAGAGAAAGATAAGGCTAAGCCCCATCGCATTTTCATCCTTCCTGACTCAAGGATGCAGACAGGGAAAGCCCTGGCTAGAGAGACTTCTGTTTCCTTGCAAACATGGAATTGTCCTTCTGCTGAACTTTCACCTCTCGAACTCGCCTCCTTTCATTGGACAAAGTGCAGAAAGAGAAGAGCCAGAGGAGGGAGGAAGGGGGTGGTGGTGGTGGAAAGAAAAAGCCTTTCCTTTAACTACCACTGGTTGGAAAGCACTTTCACTTTTAACAGCTCCTTTCTTCGGGCTATCACCTCTCCCCTCCCCCCCCCCCCCCCCATCTTCTGTTTTTATTTTAGGGAGGACAAAAATAAACAAACTATTTCTCATCCTCTTCGGCCCTCTCTGCATCAGTAGCTCTCCCCCTCTCCTCTCCAGTCCCTAAATTGGTCCGATTTCTTTTTCTTCTGAGCAATCTCAGTCTCTCTTACACCCTCCTCTGGCAGGCTGTTTGTTTTCCAGGTCTTCCCTGACCCACTCCCAGCATCCCTCCCCTGCGTCTGCCCCTCTTGCCCCTTCTCCCAGGTCCTAGGGGCTAGGCCCGCTGCCCTGAGGCTCTCCCCCCTCCCCTTCTCTCTCCTTCCCCCTCTTCCCTCCGTTTTGCAATAGCGATATTTTGCACAGAGCCTTGTTTACCCAGCAGGTGGATGTGACGTCAGAGACTCACAACAGCAAAAAATAACAACATCTCCATCCGCGATTTGTTTTCCTCTCGGCTCGCTCCCCATTTATTTATTTATTTTGGGGGTGGTTGCAAATTCGAAAGTGACCGGGAAGCCCTCCGAGCTGAGCCGGGGCAGGAACTGGGGCCGTGGGCCAGGGAGCGGGGTGCGTGCGTGTGTGTCTGTGTGTGTGCAGTGTGTGTGCGTGCGTGTGAGTGCATGTTTGCGGGTGGGGGAGGGGGGGTGCAACCTGGCCTGGCGCTTCCCATCTCCTCCCCGCCGCCGCCGCCGCCGCCACCGCCACCGCCACCGCCGCCGCCTCTGTTGGGGCTGCTGGGGCTGGGGCTGCTGCTGCTGCTGCTGCCGCCGCTGCCGCCGCCGCCGCCAACGCCGCTGCCGAGGGAGAGCTGGAGCCGGAGCCAGAGCCGGAGCCGGAGCCGGAGCCGGAGCCGGAGCCGGAGCCTCAGCCTCTCTTGGAAGCTAGTCCGGAGCGGAGGAATCTATTGTTATTTATTGTGTGGCTGTTGCATGCAGCAGCGACACAAGCCCTCGCCTATGAGTGTGTGCGTGTGTGCGCGCGGGTGTGCACGCGGGTGTGCGCGCGAGGGCGAGCGTACGTGTGTAAAGGACAGAAAACACCTTAGTTTGCACCGAGAGACCGTTTGCAGCGGGTGAGTTTGTATTTTTCCATTTCTGCTCCACTTTTCCAGCCGTCTCCTGCTTGTTTTCTCCACTTAAAGCAACAACAACAAAACCCCCAAAAGAACCGAAACAGCAAAAAAAAGAAAAAGAAAAAGAAAAAAGAGCACCCCCCACCCAACTACTTTTTTTTTCACGTTCAGCCTCCACGTGTGTCTCCCTCTCTTCTGCCTCCCTCCTTTCCCTCAGTTTCTGTCTCTTAGGGGAATTCGGGGGGCGCTGGGTGAAGGTGGGGGGGGTCCGCTGTTTGTGATGCTTGTGCATCTATCTGTATATTTGCATAAGTGTGATCCAAAGCTTCTTGGTGGCGGGCCGGGCCCGGCGAGGAGA